ATTTGGGGACTGTGCAGCCCCACGGCCACCTGTTTTCCACAGTGACGTCCAAGTTCAAGGGAGTTAATGTGGCACTGAAGTCCCGAGGAGGGAGGACCAGATCCCCGGGTGCTGCTGCCGGGAGCCTGCACACTGGCTTCTCCTCCTCGGTCCCGCGAGTCTCCAGAGAGCAATGAAGGGGTCGCTTTCCCATAGCCCTGATGCACCGTGGGGGCCGCCAGGAGCCGTGGTTACGCCCGCCACGCCCTCATCACTGCCTACTCTGCAGGGCGGGCCCGAGGCCAGAGCTCTATCCTATCCAGGGGAGGGCATCCCTTCCAGGCCCCCTGGGCTTCCTGGGTCCCCAAAAAGGGGAAAATGCCTGCTCACTGGAGAAACATTTGGGAGGGTCTCCACCCCAGACACAGACCCGGTAAAAGATGAGGATTTATCATGAGATCACGGCAGTTCCCTGCCCCGCGTGTCAGCAGCGTGGCAAGCGGTCCCGTGGCTCACGGCTGACAGAGCTGCATGGTGCAGCCTCTCTGGGGAGTGGCCCAGGGAGAGTCCGCCGTCAGGAGCGAAGACAAGAACAAGGACCACGGGGAACCGGAAGCCTCGGGCACCAGCAGCCACGGGGAGCAGAGAACACAGCCCAGCTCCCGGCCAGATTAGCACAAACCCTCACTGGGCCTCCCGCTTACCTCGGTCCCTGACACCCACCTCAAACCTGTCAGCTTTGAGCAACAACAAGGTTGCGAGGCGTCCCAAAAGTCAAGGAAGAAAAAAGCATCGGAACCAGACTCACACAGTGCACAGATGTTGAAATCATCAGGCAGGGAATTTAAAAGAACTGTGATGAGTATGTTATGAGCTGTAACAGAAGAAGTAGACAACGCGCGAGAACAGATGGGTAATGAAAGCAGAGGGATGGGAACCCGGAGAAAGAAGCAACACAGAACGCTGGAAATCAAACACTCTTTGAGGGAAATTAAGAATGCCTCTGACAGGTTCATCAGCAGGCCAAATACAGCTGAGGAAAGATTCCTCGTGCTTAAGAAATTACTTAAAAAATTAGTTAAAATATATGTTGAATCTGAAAGCCAATCAGTCTGAATTCTACCAAACATTTAAAGATGCAATTATAGCAATTCCAAAGATGTAATTAAATGGAGAGATACTCCATATTCACGTGTTGAAAGATTCAATACTGTGAGAAAATCAATTGTTCGGGACTGATCTATAGATTCATCACAATCCCAGTCAGTATCCCAGCAGGCGATTTTGTAGATGCTGACAAACTGAGCCTAAAACACGGAAAGACAAAGTATCTGGAGTAGCCAACGCAACACTGAGGGAGAAAAGCCACGTGTGGGGACTCATGGCTCCCGATTTCAAGACCACAAAGCTACGACAGTCAAGATAGTGCGGTGCCGGAAGGAGAAGAGAGAAACAGATCAACGGACGGAGGGGAGGTCCCAGGGCTGGAACCTCACAAACCCCGGGGTCAACTGACCGCGGACAAAGGGACAGACAACTCAGTGAAGGGGCAGCCCCCCAACGGACCAGCGGTGCTGCTGGAGGCCGTGAGGGTCTCCACCTAAACCTCCCACAGTATACAGAACTCAACTGTAGAAGGACCGTATATTTAAGTTTGAGGTAGACAGTCCTCCACGGATGGCAGCTCTCGTGGAATCGGGGAGCTGGCGAGGAGGCGGGGGCTCACGCCTGGCTCACGGCTGGAGCAGACTCTGCACTTGGCCGCCGGGAAGGCGAGGGGACAGCCTCACAGCACCCACGTCCCTCCCCACAGCACCAGGAGACCTCTGGCCCGTGATTCCTCCCAGGGGTGAAGTGAGAGCCCCGCCCCAGCTGCGTGGACGCTGCCAGACACCCACTCCTCCCGATCGAGCACCGAGGTCGGGCCTTGGGGGGGACAGGCGGCAGCTGGGGGGACGCTGCCCGGCTCTCGGAGCGCATCCGAAGGACACAGATGCTGCTAAGCACGCTGCAGACTCCACCGGGAAGCTGGGCCATGGTCCCCAAACTGGCCCACGGAGCCCCCCCACTCTGCCGCCCACAGCCAGTTCCCTGCGTGCGCCCCCCAGAGCAGCACGAACAGGCCATGGGAAGGTGGCTGGTGAGCACGCGCACAAAGCAGGGGCCTGTGTGGGCCTCAGAGAAACCCCCCGCGTCCGGGCCGGCGCTCTGCAGGGTCCCAAGAGGGTGTACAAATATATAAAAATATGAACACCCATCTTTCTCCAACTCCCAACAAACTGAAGAGGGACCCCTCCCAAGCTTCTTTCAGGCCTGTGTGTTCCCGACAGCAAAGCCAGATAAGGGCAGCAGAGTAAAGAAAACTGCAGGTCGCTACCCCGGTGAACGCAGAGGCAGAAATTCTCAAGGGAACACTGGCCAACTGACTCATTGGAACAGTCGTCCATGCTGATCGCTGCGATTCCCGCCCCGATGGTTCAACACACGCAGACCACGTGCCACGTGCATCAGCAGAACGAAAGAGGACAATCAAACAAGCATCTGGACAGACGCAGAAGCAGCATTTCACAAACGTCACTATGAGCACGACTAAAAAGAACCCTCGACCGAACAAAGTGCTCATGTGACCAGCCCACGGGTAACACACGCAACAGTGAACGGGTGAAAACTTGGTCTCAAACGTTAGGAGCGAGACAGGGAGCCTGTCCCCACTCCCGTCCAGCATGGAGCTGGGGGCCCTGGCTGGGGGGTCAGGCAGGAAGAGAATAAAAGGCACCCAAATCCTGCAGCCTTGCACAGGATCCACATCAGCAGATGAATAAAGAATGAAAGTGTGGTGCGTGGACACACAGCGCATACTGACCGTCTGGGACAACGCCGAAGGACCGGATGGGCGCTGTGCAGAGATGGACACCACTGCGTCCCTCACTCACATGGAGAATGGAAACCAGCCCAACCCGCGGAAGCAGAGTAGACCGGCGGCTGCCAGGGATGGGCAGGGGCAGGGCAAGGGTGAAGGGGGTCAAGAGGTACAAACATTCAGTTCTAAAACAAGGAGGTCCCGGCTAGAACGGACGGCATGGTGGCCGCTCGTTGAATCCGTGTCCCATCGCCTGCAACCATGTCTGGTGACGGACGTGCTCAGTGTGGGGACCATTTCACCACGTACACGACCATCAGATCATCATGTTGTCCGCCTAAACCAGGATAATGCTATGCATCGATTCCCTCCCAATAAAAATAAATGAACTAAATCTTTATCTAAAAGTAGGGATTGGGGCGCCTGGGTGGCTCAGTTGTTAAGCGTCTGCCTTCGGCTCGGGCCATGGTCCCAGGGTCCTGGGATCGAGCCCCACGTCGGGCTTCCTGCTCAGTGGGAAGCCTGCTTCTCCCTCCCCCACTCCCCCTGCTTGTGTTCCCTCTCTCACTGTGTCTCTGTCAAATAAATAAAATCCTTAAAAAAATAATAAAAGTAGGAATTGGGCCCATGATGTGAAGAGAGCACGCCTACCTCCCCCGGCCCCAGCCCTCATAGCCAAATTCCCTAAACGTGTAAAGGCCTATTTGCCCCCAGGAAGATAAGGACGCATGTGTGTGGACGGCAAGGTGTGCAGGAGCTGCAAAGCTGGGCGGGGGGGGGCCTCCGGCTGGAGGAGGCGGGGACTGGGAGGCATCAGGGCCCCTCCAGGTGGCCATGTGACCCACCGTGGAGCCACCCACCCAAGCACCCCACCTGTCTGCACCTGCCTCCCCCACGTAGCAGGAGGAGCGAGCAGGAACCGCACTGCAGGCGGACGGACGGAACGCCCGGAACAGTGCTGAGGCATTTTCGCGGGCCGTAAGCGCGGGCTGTGCGGTCAGTCTGAGAGCAGGAGGCCTCTGACCCACGGCCATCCTGCTGCGGCTCGGGGACGTGTCCACACACACTCCACACCAACCACAGGAGCACGGAATCGAGAGGCGCTCTGGGCGCGCAGGTGAGAGCCCACCGGAAGGACACATTTTATCCCCCTGGACATCCAGAATTGCCAGCCCCCTTCTGAGAGAAAGGAAAGGAGGCGGAGGCACAGGAGACCCGTGCAGCCCCGCAGGGATCAGAGACGCAGATGGGCCGGTTCACACATACTAAGCTGACACCAGGAATACGGACAGCAAACACTCCCTGCTGGTAAAATACCCGTCATTTCTCAGGGGCAGTGAGCACCGACCCCACAACCGTTGGTAAACGACGGGCAAAATGTTTCAGGAGCCCTGGGATTACTTCCTTTTCGATGCAGAAAACCAATTTGAACTTTTAACCTGGAAAATAACATGGGGAAAAAACTCATAAGCAGAACGACATCAAAGACATCAGTGTCTATCGATCCCGCTGCCTTGTACATGTGGATACAAAATACATCAGAACAGTAACGTAACAGGCGGACCGAGAAAACATGTACGGGCTGTATGTAACACACAAGCGTGGAAATCACCTCCTCGTAAGATAATTCACGGGCTTGGCAAAACTGGATGTTTTACGCACATCCGCTACAAGGAGAATTACGAACAACACGTAGCAACTCGGAAGGTGGTTGAGAAGAGCAGAAGTCTGCATGCAGGCGGCGGCAGGGGGCACATGATGAGGACCAGGAAGGCGCGTCCGCCTGTTTGCAGGGACGCAAGAGCCATGTGGGAGAGCCGTGCGCAGGGCCGGGCGGCTGGGGCCGACGGAGGTTCCCGCACACCACACACCTACGCAGGGGGACACAGGCCTGAGCAGACCCTCTCCCCATCGTCCCTCCCCAGGCCCAGGGGCTGGTGCTCGCCCCCTGCCGCCCTGCCCGGGGGAGGGAGGCTCCCGAGAGCCGGGCTGTTGTCCACCACGGTGTCCCCAGAGCTAGGATGTGCTGGATACACAGTAGGAGCTGAATAAATGTCTGAATCCCAGGGCGGGATGTCACCCATGTGCGTTTCTCCACAGATTTTTGTCTTGAGACTCCATCCCGCTCACCTCCTATAAGCGAAAAACTTTAGGACCACACTTCATCTTAAGGACATTGAGAGTTTATTTCATAAAAAATCACAACATGTTTTCACTACTTAGTGGCATTCATCATTTTTCCTGTGCTGTGAACTACTCTAAACACACGATTCTTTCCTATTTATCATCTTTGGCCAAATTATGTGTAGATAACAAAGCACTGCAGAAGCCAAAGTCTATAACCTATAAATAAAGTGCACTGCTTTCCTTCATTAGAAATAAAAAGTTTGCTCATTACTCCCCTTGATATATTAGCTATGTAGAGTGAATATGCTGAGCGTAAAACACAGAATTTCCTAAAGGAAAGACAGTTCTTACTCGATTTGCTTCACCAGAGACGAAAGAGACGAAACTCCAAGCGTAGATCTCAGGAATACAGTGTTCTCACTTCTAGGTGCTTGCGGGCATGACGAGGATCCAACGCCCAGTTACAAGTGGTCTGGTTTCTGGAATCACAAGGAAGCCTGGGCAGGCGCTGGGCACACTCGGGCTTTTCACTACACACACGGGGTCTCGGCAGCACTCCAGCCCCCCGCCCGGCCCCGGGGCCTCGCGGGGAGGCAAGAACAAAGACGCACCGCGATCCACACGTGGCTCTCGGTCAGACCCCTCCCCGTGCAGGACATGCCTGTGGGTGAGTGAGTGATCGGGGTGGCACCTGAGCAGGAGGGGGAAGGCACGCAGAACCACGGAGGGAAGGCCCCCCGAGAACGGGCGGGCGTGTGGGGCGAGCAGGGCTTGGTGCCACCGCGGTCACAGCTTACAGAAGATTCTCCAGTATCGGCCACAGGTCTGACCGTCTGAGCCACATGCTCACACACACCGTCACCGCGGACGCCCCGGTCTGAGCTCTCCCAGCCTGTGTCCCCATAGTCAATGGCACTGGGGGAGCTTCTAAGGTCACAGGCCCTGGCGTCCCAAGGACCCTGCCCACACACACAGCGGTAACGGCCACCCCATTTCCTAGGGCACCCAGCCCCAGCTCACAAACCAACAGCAACTGGAAGACACAGCCGTCAGGTCACCCTCCCCAGGCCCGTGGGGCAAGCAGCCCTGCCGGCGGCAGTCGGCCTCTGCGGCCACACGGAACGCGCTCACTCCCCTCCACGGGCATCTGCCCGTGAGACGCAGAAGGCGTCTGCAGGTGACCAACAGGAAGCTCTGGGGAAGTGAGGCCATGGGAAACCCCTGTGGGGCCGCCGGGACGAGGGAGGGCTCAGGTGCTCGCAGCGGGGCCGGGACGAGGTGGACCGTGAGTGTGGAGAGAGCACTCGGAGGGGGGGGCTGGGAGCTCTCCCCGCAGCGGGCCCACCCCGCTCCTCCCCCAGAAGGGGCATTCACCTGCGGCCAGGCCTGAGCAGTCAGCGCCCACAGCCCAAAGCCCCCGCACTGGAAGGCAAGCGTGGCCTGCGGGGCACCAGCCTGCACAGGGCCCCTCTTCTCAGAGCTTGTGACGGCTGATTCAGCAGGTTGAGGACATTCTTCACCTCCTCACACACCCGTCTGCCTCCGCCTGACCCTCAGGGGCCCCTGGGGGCCCTCACCTCCCCCACAGGACCTGGCCCTCTGGTCCCAAGTCCCCATCACGGCGCCCAGGCTAACTTGCCCTCCTCGCACTGCAGCCCCAGGGTCCTGTATGCTCATGGCGGGTGCCCCGGGGGACAGTCACTTGGCCACGGGAGGACCAGAGCCGGGAGGGCCGCCCACGACCGTGCATCAGGCTTCGGGCCCAGCAGTGGGCTCTGTCACACGGGAGGGTCAGAGGTGAGGAAGCCTGTCACGGGGGCCAGGATCCCCACATCCAGACAGCAACAAGGAGAGGGTCCCACGGTGAAGGCAGAGTGTTTCTTGTGTTTAGTTTGCGGGGTGTGTTCTGAGCAGCAAGATGGCCAGTCAGTGGCCTCCCTGCTCACACAGTGGACAGGTCCACGCGGTGGGCAGAATGGCTGCTCTTGTCCCAGGGGCTGAGCTTGGTGGACACGGTGCCTGGCCGGGTCCCATTCATCTGCAAATCACAGAGGAGTGAGCTGTGAAGACTCGGTCCCAAGATGGGAAACCAGGCCCCAGGGGGTGCGGAAGCGCTGGGCCAGAAAGCTGCGTGAGGCTCCCCTCCACCCCAGCAGGGACGCCCTGCTCCCCGTCTCTGCACTGGCGCCCTCCCCCGTCACTTCCGCGAGCTGCTGCGTGCACGCGTTCCTGCACGCGTTCACTCGAGCCCCGCTGCCCGTCCGAGCACTCACCCCCGTGCACTCACCGCGCTCAGCCCGCCCCTGCTGCAGGCTCTGGGGTCACAGGAGCGAACAGTGCTCACCAGATCCTGGCTCCCACGGGGTACCCGCCCGTGGGAGGCGCGAGAGAGCCACACGCGCATCAGTGAACAGAACATGCGGGTGGTGGCCGTGGTTCGGCGCTGTTACTCCGCACTGCCCGGGAAGTTCCTCCTGAGGGGAGGACCCCTGAGCCAGGCCCTGGGCTCATGCAAGAGGCAGCGGCGCCATGAGAACACGCATCATCTGGCCCAGGCACCTGGGGGTCCTGCTTGTGTCTGCACTTCCTGCAGGAGGGTGAACCAAGCCCGGTGTGGAGAGGACAGGCTTGTCGAGATCCCTGAGCACCAAGACCCCCGTTCTCGGGTGTCTGCAGAGGGAAGAGACCCCTGCAGGGGAGGAGCTCCCTGAAGGCCGGGCTGTGCCTGGTGACGTTCATGCCTCCCCGGGGCACCAGCAACATGCCCAGGGTCTGTCTCCTGGTCAACTGATCCTTCCATCCTCCTAAGTCAACACGGAAGTCGTGCCCCTGGGAAGTGGGCAGGAGGTCATGGGAAACCACAGGACAGAGGACCCTGCCGTGGGCATAACGTCACCACAGAGCACAGGCCGTCTGCCGGCCACGTCAACCGTGAAAGGGCTGGGCAGGAACCACGAACACCTGAGCCTCACGACCACAAGCCTGAGCGGGGCAGCTAGCTGCCTGCCAAGGTCAGGCTCAGGGAAGCAAGGAGAGGCGCACTGGGCGCTCTGGGTTTAGGAGGCCCAGGAGGGCAGAGGCCTGGTGCACCTCAGCAAAGCTGGAAGCCACTCTGGCTTTCCAGGTGACAAGGACAGAAGACAAGAGCCTGCGGGCCCATGAGGCTAAGGGTGCAGGCATGCAGGGCAGGATCGAAGCGAGAGCAGCGGATGCAGACAAGACACCACAGGGCACTCACGACATCGGAGCTGAAGGGCTTCGCGTTAGTGTTGCGGGTGGAGCTACTCGTGAGGGTCCAGACCTTGGTTTTATGTTTGAAGGCAGCCCTCACCTTTGAAGGCAGAACAGAGGGCTGGTTAGAAGCAATTTCAGTGGTGGAAACAGCAACAATGAGAAGTTGTTCTCAAAGGACCCTAGGTTTTGTGCCGAAATAAAGTCCCAGAATACCAGCTGCAGGGTATGGGCAGGATATGGAAGCATCATATCCAGACTCACTGCCTCATTCGGCAGATGCAGACTCTGTCCCCACCACCGTACCAGGGCCTGTGGAGGGAGAAAGCTGGATCTGGTGTGGTCCCTGCTGGCCTCATGCCAGTTCTGGACAGGGCACCGGACATGCTCAACAAGGAATGGTGGAGGGGGCAGAGTGTGACCAGCAGCATAAACAATGGAGAAGAAAGTGAACAAATGCAAACATGGGGTGGGCCATGCATGGCTCAAAGCCACGTCCCCTTCCCATCTTGTGGACCATAGTTTTGGGCCCTGCTCAGCTGCTCCCTGGCTTGACAATCATGTGACCCCTCCGCCACTGGTCACCATCATCTTCAGCGACTCACCCTGCTCCCCGCCCCCCGCCCGCAGCATCCCTTCCCTCCTGCCTGACCTATATCCCTGTACGAACAGACCCTCCGCAGAAACAGCACAGATGGGTGGTACCTCTCCGTCTGTTCCCACTCACCACTCCAGAGGTAGCTCCCCATGACCAAGCCTGGTGGGGTCTCAGATGTCAAGCCCACGATGTAAGCGTAAGTATGGGTCTCGGGGAATGGGGAACGGAGCAGCCTCCACCCTCCCCATGGCCAAGTGCATGGCAGGTCAATGCCCAGACTGCACTTGAGAATGAACCCACTCCAGCTGCCCAGTGCCCGTGGAGGGCATGTGACACAGTCCCCCCTAAACCCTATAGTCAGGAGACCTCCTTCTTACGCCCCAGACAGCTTCTTCATGCCTTTGGGGAGGACTGCTGGAAGGACATCTCTCCCTAATGTGCCAGACAGCAAGCAAGCAGGTCTAGATTCTGCAGGTCAGCTGCCCCCCACCGTCTCCATTGCCCCTGTCCTCCAGAGAGCCAGCAGGGCCTGTGAGATGCCAGGAAGGGGCTCCTGGATGTTGCTCAGCGACCAGGATGCAAGAGAAGGGCTGACAGAAAGCACCCCCACTGCACACAACCTGTCACCACTACCAAAGCCTATTCAGGTTTATGCTCCCAGACACCAACCCGATGGGCAAGACTGTTCCTGCGCCCTGTGCCCTTTCAGAAATGAAAACACCGCCTCACGTTTTCAGGAAGTAGAAGAGACGTACCTCTGAATTCAGGAGACAATGGAAAAGGAAGATGAAAAACCCCTGGGGAGGAAGAGAACACAGGATTAGGCCTCGCATTTTGTCACGGCACTTTCCGAGGCTCCCTCCCAAGGCCACGTGGGTTTGGGAGTGGCACTGGTGTGACTCACTCCTGGGAAGCCTGCAGGCGAGCTGGGGGACAATCCTATGGTCTGGAGCCCCTGAGAATGGAGGGGGTCCTTGATCCCACGGTGAAATCTAGCCTAGGGGCAGGCACCACTGTGACCTACTATGGTGTTTGGGCAAAGGTACAAAGACAGGCAGATTCCCAGACAGGACAGACCCAGGAATGAGGAAAACGCAGGGGATGGACCAAGGAGAGGACGTCAGACAGTCAACTAAACTGAGCCTTGGTGTCCTCATCTCAGACAGCATGATAACAACAATGAAATGGGCATGAGAATGAAGAGGTCCCCAGAACTCTGCAGACAGCTTCGGTGCGTCCAGTGCTAGGCAACATCTCCCGTGATTTATCTCAGTTACTGCTGAATCTGCCCCAGTCGTGGGTCCAGTTATTGTTCCCATTGTATGGAGGAAGAACTGGAACGCAGAGAAGGTAAGTGAGGTACCCCGGGACCCAGGTGTGCAAGGGCTGTGGCCAGGACAACGGATCACATTTTTCTGTAAACCACCAGCAAAACAACGCGTGCAGCTGATTACAAGTTGGAAGCCCGACACGCTTCCGTAAGATGCAGTCTGGTCGGGACCCAGACCGCAGCAAGGGCTGCGTGGGTGGGCCGTGCTCACGCTCACCAGGGTTCAGCCATAGGCTCAGCTGTGTGGCTGCGGGTGGTGGTAGGCACTCACTTCCACCCTTTCTTGGGGGCGTGTGGGTTTGGGGATGCAGGCTCTGAGCACCCCAAGTCTCTGGTTTCCAGGCTGCTGCCCCTTCCCTGCCCCTCCATGACCCAGACCTGAGGAGCACACCATCAGCATCCCTCTGCGCTCGGCTCCCTTTGCAGAGCTGCACACATGCAACTGTCTTCCCTTTCAGGCCCAAGGGTGCCTCCCGCCGGTACCGGCCGGCATGATGAGGCAGCCCAGCTGCAAACAGGGGGGTGGCCCTGCAGGCCCCGTGGGCAGAGACGCTGGTGCGTGCCCCGTCAGCACCTGTCTTTGGACCTCAGGCATGCCCGTGCGGCAAGAACAGAGAGGGGGGTCTCTGTCCTGCCCGGGTGGCAACCTGCTCCACACACACCCGCTCGTAAGCTGACAGTCTGCCTGGCAGTCCCACGGCGCTCACCTGTAAGGAGTTGAGGATGGCAAATATGTACTGGAAGGCCAAGGCCTGGCTGTCGACAGCAAGCACACCAAAGATCCACGAGGTTCCCAGGATGGGCAGCAACACGGCCACGGCTTTTGCCGTCAACCTGAAAGAGAAGTGGAGATGGCCACTCTGGGGGGCAGGCAGGTGAGGTGGGTCTAGGGGACTGTCCTCTCAGTGTGAGGCCTCTGAAAGGGAGCAGACACAGCCCTGCTGGGCCCGGACCTGGTCTCCATCCTGCAGGGAACCCTGGGTGAGGAGTGGGCCGCTTGGGACCTGAGACAGGGTCCCTGGCCACGCCAGCAGCCCTGCCCCCACGCTCCTGCTGCTTGCACTGGGCGCCCAGCAGCCATCATGCCCTCTGGGCACCCTCAGCTGATCACCCGGATCCAGCCGGCCCCAGTGCTGGATGGAAATGCTGACCCCAGGCACCCACGGAGGACAGCAGAGCCAGGGCTCCGGTGTGGGCCCAGCAGGGTAGGAAGCATGCTCAGAACCAGCCTCACAGGCTGCTTCTCAGAATGTGGGTTCCGTGGAGTGTGGTCCCTGCTGTGTGTGCAAGCCCAGAGCAGAGCTAACACCCAGTCAGCCCCCAGTGAGTGCCAGCCGAGTGAATGAGGCAAAGCCCACGTGGTCGCCGGGCCCCAAGCCGTTTCTGACAGACCTCGCAGTCTACCCTGACTTCTGAAACAGCTCGGCTTTGCACACTGCGGGTGGTGCACCCGGGCTTCAGAGGAAGCCTGCAGACAGAGGTGGCTGCACTCATCACTGGGCGCACGGACAACACACCTGCCTCCCTCGCTAGACCACGAGCTCCCACGGCTGGGCGGGGGCTGCACCGCAGCACCCCCAAAGTGCAGCAAAGCACCAGGGCCCAGCAGCTCTCAGGAGCTGATCGCTGAATGAGGAATGAATGAGCGAGTGCATGAGGGACAGACCGACCAGTGTGCACACATCCAGCCTCTCTGGGAGGAGGTGAACCACGGCCACGCTGAGCCTCCTGGCGGGACACCCAGGATCCCGGCCCCGGCAGCTTCTGGCCACAAACCCTGAAAACCAGAGAATGCTGCTCACAGATCAGCTGCCTGGGGAGCGGCAGCCCCACGTCTTCCTAACGTCAATACAGTCAAAACACCCAAATCTGGGAAACAAAGCATCATGGACTATGTAGCTTCATCTTTACATCCTGGAAAATCCGTATGGGAAAAGAGCCGTCTCGAGAAATGGGTCTCAAATTGTGCTGTTTTTTCTTAAAAACTGAAGCATCAAAACAGACGATCTTGCGGAAGACGTGTCCAGCTGGAGGTCTCCGAGGCCTTTTGTTAACACGGCCAGAGCTGTCGGGGTCCCCTCGTCACGTGCAGAAGGAGCAGGTCCCTGCACTGGGAGGAGGCCCCGGGCAGGTGGACGCACCTCATCCTGCTGCTCCCCGGGCCGGCCCTGCGTGGGGCTCAGTCCACATGAGCCTCCTCCGCGTCCTCCCACGGCTCGCGGGGTGGGGGTCCTCGTGGTCCTCAGCCTCACCCCTGCCCCCAGGAGCCTGGATCTCACTTGTGAAAACGGAATGTTCCCTGCTCCTCTCCGGGGAGTCTGGACTCCCCCAGGAAACAGACTAGGAGGACGCGGAAGCCCCTTCAGGCTCCTAAGGAAGCATGTTGTCCTGTTGGTCACTGAGCGTGCAGTTGTTCCCCCAGAGGAAACGGCCACATTGAAACCGAGGGCCGGGGAGGAGGAACGAGCCCAGAAGCCGACCAAGGATGCTGCAGGTGCCGACCCCCTGCCTGGTCTGGAGCCCGGGGGGACCGGGCCACACGGGGGACCCCAGAAGACAGTGAGAGGGCCCCAAGGAGCCAGGCTCGGCCGCTGGAGGACAGAAGCCCCAGCACCGGTCACGCAGCCGGGTCACACCGCAGAGCCGCGAGTCTGTCCAGAGACGCCACCTGAGCTCTCCCGGGAGGAGCGCGACCCTGGGCCTTCGGGTGCAGGACACGGGAGGCCTCAGCGGTCGGGCCAGCAGCGAGGTTCTGCAGAGACGGGGAAATGTGCTCCCCGTGCCCGGTCCCTGACCCCGGGCCAGCCTCCACTCGAGGAGCAGAGATGCAGGGGTGGAGGGAGGGAGGCTGCTTCCTGGGGGCCGTGACGGGGGACGACGGGGCGCACGGTTGGGGTGAGCTCGCGGCCGCTCTGGGCAGTGAGAGCCGCGGTCCCGGTGGGGTCGGGCTCAGACAGCGGAGCCAGGCCTTCTGCTGGAGACAGGACTGGAGACACTGGCTGGTCCTGAGCCCGGCTGCAGGGAGGGAGGGACAGGGTCCTCCTTGGCCAGGCCACCGCGGGACTGGGCTGCCTCCTCCCGCCAGGGAAGAAGAACGGACGTGCTCCCTGACCCGGGAGGCCCTTCCTGCCCCACGGTGCTGCCCTCGAAGGTGTCCGGAGACTGAGAAACCCCCCGAGGGCCAGAGCTGCCTGTCAGCCCCATTCATGGTGTTGGGAATTCATCACAGAATAATTGTCTTATCGATTTGCTGCTGACATATTTACTGCTTTTGCTCTCAGATCGGAAAAGATTTAGTGTAACTAAAGTAACTTAGCTGCCTACTGTCCCTGTCCTAAATGTTCACAGCGGCCCCCAAGTTCCCTGTGAGGAGCCACCTCCCCCACTTCCTGGCCCGTGGTTTGGGGGTGCTGAGTGCACCCCAGAGCCAGGACGGACCGTGGACCCAGGCCCGGGTGAACTGGTCACTTCCACTCTGCTGTGACTGGTTCCGGGGTGGGCGTGTGACCCGACCGGAGCCCCGGGCTCCAGGCTCAGGACCTCTGTCTGAACAGACGGGATGGAGGGTCTTCCCGTGTCACCAGGAGGCAGGTCCATCTGAGCAGGAAGCCGACGGGGGACACAGGGATGAAGGATGCAGGAGGAGCTGGGTCCCCTGGATGAAGCAATTTGAGACTCCCTCCTGGGCTCTGTGGATCCCTGTGTGGATCAATCCCCCTTTCCTTCAGCCAGTTTGTGTTGGGTCTCCTGTCACTTGCAGTCAGTGCAGCCCTCAGTGGTATGGGGTCAGGACCCCTCGAGGGCAGGGGGCGTGGGGGGCGTCCCTCCCCAGGGGACCGGCCCTGGAGCACCTCGGGAAGTTCTACCCCGAGGAGGTTCCTCCTCATGACAGCCCTTTACAGACAGGAGAGCAAGGCACGGAGGAGGCTAATAGCAGGGGCTGAGACAGGACCAAATCTAGAATCTTCCTCCTTCGGTCCTGCAAGTGGCCTCTCACCCCAGCGATGGAGCAGCCCCCAGATGGCATCTAGTAGACCCCCTGCTTTATGAATGGGGCAGCAAGCCTGGTAAAGGGCTGGTCCTTGTCAGAGGTGGTGACTAACAGCCAAGCAAGGACTTGAGTCCCAGACTCCCCAGTGACCCCCACCCCACTACCCCCGAGCGGCTCTGTGCAGGCAGGACCACCGCTGATGGCCCAGAGTCCAACTTACTTGAAGGCACTGGGGTCCCCGTGTATCTTGTAGTTGTCGGCGCTGATCTGTGAAATGACCCTGGTCACAGCAACGAGGATGCCGACATTGACCTGCACAAGGGGAGGATCAGCACACAAGGTGAGGGCCGCGGCCGCAGCTGCAGAGCCCTGATCCCACCAGGCAGCCGCCCATCCCGCCCCCAGGGCTCCGGGTGAGCAGGTGGCGTCTCTGTAGAAACCGACCCCCAGGGGCCCCTGAGCATTTCACTCCCCTTGGCGCACGCAGCAGCACCCTCTGGGGGCACATCTGTGCTGGCGAGGAAGTTCTGGCCCCCAGCACAGCAAGGCAAGGCCTGCGGTTCAAACCTCCCTTCAGCATTGCTCAGTCTGTGCGCCCCTGCACCACATGCTCGTGCCCTTGCTTCCCGATCTGATGAGAAGCAGTCGACAGCCACAGGGCGAACAGACCGTTGCAAGGACGAGAAATCCTATCCATGAGGCCCCCTGTGCACCACCTGCTCTCACTCCCGGCCCCACCCTGGCCGAGGCTCGGCCCCATGGAGGCCACAGCGCAGGGGACTGCACCTGCCCAGTGCTCCCGTGGGTCAGGGGGCTGGGGGGCGGGGCTGAGGGGGTCTCTGCAGAGGCTCCAGCACAACCTGTCCCTCCTGCGTTAGCTCGACGGGGCCCTGGCCGAGCCCTGCAGCAAGGGGAAGCGAGCGCGCGGATTTCCTTCTGCTGCCGCTGGATTCAGGGCTGTGCTGCGGCCGGGACCCTCTCTTCCCTCTGGAAACCTCGGGAGGTCATTGCCAAAGTCGCTGAGGAGTCCAGCTACAGGCCAAAATCCTAGGTGCACTTCCAGGCCTGACCATGGGCAAGGACAAGGCTTTCCCTGGCAGACCTCCCGGGAGAAGCGTCCCTCCCCACCCAGCCTGGTGCCCAGCAGAACCGGCCGGCACTGCGGAGAGGAGCTCCAGAGGAGCACCCGGGACGGCGGGGGGCGGGGGGCGCTCCCCACTCAGCCCCAGCCTGCACTACTGCAATCCGCCAACGAAGGGTCGCGGGCAGCCTGGCTCCGTGTCTCCACCGACGCCTCCACCCCGGGCAGCTCGGCCCCTGGCTGCGGACCCCCGTCACCCACCTCCTCTCCCACCTGCACGAGGATCCCAGCAGAAGTCCCCCAGCGCCGGGGAGGAGGAGAGGACTCACCGGCAGCGCTGCCCTCCTGCCCTCCCCTGCCAGCCACGTTACAACCATGAGAAAACCGCACTCAGCCACGTGGAGGAAGGATGGGCAGAGCGCGGCCCCAGAGGTGCAGGGCCTGCGTTCCAGACAGCGGCCGCTCACAGGAGTCCACGGACAGTCAGCTCTGAGAGCCACGGGCGGTCACGTCGGCAGCACCCTGCTGCTCCCCGTGACCGGAGGCGGGGCCGCCAGGAGCGCCCGTTCCACCGAGACTCAGCTGCTTTCCTGAATAAACGCTTTTTGGCTTTATGCTTTGGGGTAAAGTCTAGATTCTGATGATTCCTGCAGCACTTCCCCTTCACTGTCCCCCAGAGTCCTGCCCCAGCAGGACCAACCGCACCAGAACACGCAGAAACCACCCATCCCGACCCAAACAGGCACCTTCTAAAATGTGTTCCAAACTGGCAAGCCCCCGTGGGTGCTTTCAGCCACTCGGACCGTTGGAGTCTATGTCCCTGGGCGGGAGCCCCTCCCCAGGGAGCCACCGTTCCGCGGCCCCGGGCACCACCTCACAGGGGCCTGGGCCCAGAGCTCAGCACACGTGGCATATGGGCGTGCTCCGGCCACGCTTGCTCTTCTGAAACCCGCTGTCTTCATCTGGAAATGAGGCGGGCTGCCTGAGAAAACGGGGACAACCCCAGACACAACCCCTCTAATGAGGGGATAAGAGGCAAGCCCCCCAGCTGCTGGGCCAGCGTAAGGCTGGACAAGCGCAGCCCCCAGCCCCGAGTCTACTCAGCTGCTATAGCACAAAACCCACCACCACAGCCGTGGCCGTGTGCCCACATGACTGTGAACAGGAGTGGGCAGAGGCCCACACTGGGCCACAGTTAGCAGATGCCCGCACTCGGCTATGAAACCCCAGAACCCCTTCCAGCCCATGCCCCCCACCTTGGCCCCAGTGCTCTCCCATGTCCCCTGGGAGCATGGTAGCCCTCAAGCTGGCTCCAAAATGGAATCACCTGGGAGCCTGGACAGGCCAGGTCCAATCAAACCAAAAACCTCCAGAGATGGGGCTCAGGTGGAAACCAGTAATTCCATGATGTGACGTGTTTGAGGACTGCTGGCCTTCAGGGTGGCTGGCGGGCCAGGAGCTAATGCCCCCCTGAGCCATGGGAACGGGGGCTCCCGTGAGCCTGGAGGACACGGGGTCACCAGGACCCTGCGCTGGACCCCACGCCATGGTGGCTGCTGGAGAAGGATCCAGGCAGGGCAGCCTCCGGTCCCCAAAGTCACGTTAAATCTCAGATCACCCGGAAACGTCTGGGACACTGGCCGCTCTTGCCCCGGGCTCCGGATCTGGAGGGCGAAGGTCAGCACAGAGAACGAGGCCCGTGATGCTCAGGCCTTCAGTTACTTCCCTTCTTCACTCTCATCAGTAATGTTCCCTTCAGACCCCCTCCCGACGTCCATGCTCTGACCCTGGGAATTCATTTGTCCAGGGGCCCGGAGTCTGTTCTGAGCCTGTTTCTACCTCTGGGTGGAGCAGATGAATGGTCTTCCCGGACCCCAGACGGCAGGTGGAGCTCGGGATCTCTGACTGCAGGCCCGTGATCCCCTAGAAGGCTGGGTGGGAAAGGGGTCGTGGCAGAGCCTCAGGCAGCCCCGGGGACAGGGGACGGCCCTGGATTTGCAGGCTCGGTCACACACCACCGCTTACCTCCTGCAGTGAAAACAATTCACCGCAGAACACGGGCCCTAGTCAGAGCCCCTTGTTCGTGCATTGGAGGGGCGCTCTGATCCACCACCCCGTGCCCTCCTCGACCTCTCTGCCCTTCCTGGAACAGGTGTGTGATCAGCCCTGGATGTGCACCCCCCGCCCTGCTTGGGGCTCGGCCCGGTCGGGCTCCTCTGGAGCTCCTCTCCCCCCCCCCAGGAAGCTCTTCTGTCCACGGTCCATCCCCAGACGGCGGCTCAGCCTCCCAGGGCGGCGGCCAGGCTGTGGGGGCCTAACGTCACCGCGACAGGGCCCTGAGCTGCTCCCACCCACCCTGCCTGCCCACAGGCCCCACTGTCCGCCCCAGAACAGGGGTGGGTGGTAATGTTACTGGTTACTCTGTTTTCACCATGGACCCAGCCAGAAACAGCCAGGGCTGCCACATCGACACAAGATCTCCGGTGTCTGATGCTAGCCCCGAATTCAAAGTGAAATACAACAACAACAAGGAAGCTGTGGGCCACACGGGACATTTCTGTGGGCAGACTCACCCCTCTGTTTGCAAGCTGTGAGGTGAACGCGAGCTTCCCTTCTCTCCGTCCACCCCACCCCCAGCACCAGGATGGTCTTCTCACCTCCTTTTCCTCCCGGACTCCCCAGAATGGCTCTCTTCTCCCCGGGGCCCCAGCCTGAAGCAGAGTCTTGATCCCTACATGCTGGGGTCTCAGCAACATCTTCCCACGGGCTCTCTCTGCCCCTCGGCTCTCACCTACCTATCCAGAATGTGTCCCCCTGACACCCTACTCGTTCCCCTGGGGAAAGGCCATCCCAGGCACGTGAGGATGACTCTGGGACGATGACAACTGGGAACGGCCTCCAGTACCTCCATTCCTACAGCTCCTGCACAGAGAGGCCTGGGGGCTGGTGGGCGGGGTGGGGTACCCCTGGGAGGCCAGAGCCTGCTGCCTGCAGGACAAATGCTCCCAGTATCACCTGCTGCTCCTCCTGGACACCAAAGGTCTGAGAGATGGGGACGGGACGTGTACATGTGGGTTAGCTGTGCCCCTCTCCTTGCAAAATTACCCGGGGAGTGTGGAGGCCGGGGCTGTGGACAAGGCTGTGGCCAGGAGCTGTGGCCACGCTGTGGCCTATGGAGGATGGAGCAGCCCTGGCCGCCCACAGTCCTGCACAAAGGAGCTGAGGGTGAACACCGGCCTCACTCCCCTCCCACTCTCTGATCTCCTGCTGGCACCTCCACAGGCCAAACCTCCCCAAAGCCAGGAAGCAGGAGCGTGGTCCAGGTCCGTCCAGACCAGCCCCTGGGGCACGGCCAGGCCGGTAGGGGGATCCCATTGGGAGGAGCAATGGACTAATGTCCACACCGCCCCAATCCCCCTGTTACCCAGCCCTCCCACCAGGGCCCCCACTGGGCCCCCAAAGCTCAGAGCTCAGACCACAGCCTGGCCCTCTAGAGGCTGGGGCACTGGGGCCACGGAGGACCTAGGAGGCTCTGAAGTCACCCTCATCACCTGTCTGTCCTCGTGAACACCCCAGAGCAGGTGTCACCCGGCAGGACACAGGCAGAGAACAGGAGCCAAGTCAATGCCACGGAACAACAGGGCTGCTGTGTGGGGCTGACACCACCCGCTGTCCCTCTCATCCCAAACAGACAATGGAGACACCACGATGGTATCCCAAACTCTGTCCTTCTGGAAAGCCTTCGCTGGGAAGGCACTGCCCCACCAATGTGCAGCCTGAGCACGGTCTGTGCAGAATTTTAATGAGGAGAGAATTAACAAGTCCTCAAGCATCTTCCCTCACATTCAGTTCTAATTAACCACCAGGGCCCAGGGCCTCGGTTGGTGCCAACGAACTTGGAACAAAGTCAGCTGGGCTTTCAGATGAGGTGCCAGGGAAAGAAGCAGGGACAAGAGAAGGAAGGGTGTGGAATTTATGAGACCCCCACCCGACGCAGGGAGGAGCAGTCCAAGTCCCTGCTGACCGCCCTCAGTGGTGACCTGTCCTCAGATGGCAGGCTGGGAGGGCAATGGGGGGCGATGAATGAGGACACTGAAGGGACAGGTGTCTGGGAGGTGCCCCTTCCCTTCTCTGTCAGCATGGTGCCCCAGCTAAGGCGGGACTCCACACCCTTCAAAGGCAGCAGCTCAGAGGCAGTGCCATGGCCTGGGTGACTGCCCTGGGGTATGTGGAGGGCACGTCCTGGGGTCTCAGCAGAAGGGGTGCACATGGAGAGCCTGTCCTGGGGTCCTGAGACAGGGATGCACATGGAGAGCAGGTCGAGGGTCCCAGCATGGGAGGGAGCACATGGAGCACATCTGGGGTCCTGGCCCAGACAGTGTGTGGAGCGTGGGTTCTGGGGTCCCACCTGGGGTCCAGGAGATTATATATGTGGATTTGCACAGGGTGGGCAGGAAGGGTCTGGGGAGGCCCTTCTGTGGGCCACCCCCTCCTGATATCAGTGCCCAGCACTGCTGGGAAGAGATGTCCAGATGGGATGGCAGATACAGCCCGTCCCTGACCAGGCCTCATGCCAGATACACACCCACGTACCAACCAGGACGTGAGCACTAGCATCCTTTTCCTCCACAGATCCCCATGGCCTCCTGGGGACCCCCAGCTCTGGCCCCTGAGCATCCAGGTGATGCTGGCCAATCATCCGCTTCCATCCCCAGTGACTAGTTCTGGGACAGACATGTGGCCCACAGCAGCCCATGAGAACCGCTGTGGGACTTTCGTGGGCACCACTGGGAACAGTTTCCCTCCTTGCTCTGTACCGCACACCCAGAGGACGTGTTGTGTCCCCACCAGGGAGAGTCTGCCTGAGATGCAGCCAGCACAGAGGCAATGGGCCATGGGACAAGCAGGAGACACCTGCTGACATCACTGAGTGCCTGATCCGCTGCGTTTCCCAGGACTGAGCCTTCCCTACCTACAGGGAATTGACTGGTTGGTTTTTCATTATGTTCAGTTAGCCAACATATAACTACCTACAGAAGATTTAACTTGGTATGTGTTCCTGGGGAGGAGGGAGAGGGGAGGAGAGAAGGAGCAAAGGGAGGAGGGAGGAGAGGAAGGCGGAGGGGGAGGGCAGGAACAAAGAGGGGACAGGGAGGGGAGGAGAGAGGGGGAGGAAGGGGGAGGACAGGAACAAGGAGGGGAGGGGGAGGGGTTAGGAACAAGGGGAGGAGGACTTCCACACTAACACCGCCCCCCCACCCCCTCCCCGGCGCCCCACTCCAGGCCTGGCGCCTTGGGCTGCCCCTCGGCGGAACCGCGAGCACCATCTCTCCGGCACCTCCTCCCGGCGCAGGCAGGCACACGTCACGGAAAAGCACTTCCACGTCTCAGGGCAGAGTCCTACACCGAGCCTTTCTTACTAACACTGACTTCCTGGGAAGCACCTGCGAGGACACCTGGACCCCCTCCCCGAGGAACACCAGGGACTTGGCCCACAGGAACCGCCCGCACGACCTCGGCGCCGCCGAAGCTCCCCGGGTACCACATGCGCGCACCCCGAGCCGGGAAGAAGCGGGTATCTGTGCCCAGACCGGACGAGGGCGCACACCTGCCGGGCGGAGAGGGGCTCCCGCCACCGCCCAGGGCCCCTGCCATGCGTGCACCACCCCTCCTCTACGAACTGCACCCCGATTTTCTCGTAACTGCCTCCCCCACCTGGAGTCCACATGCTTTTCGGGAACTTGGACCCCGAACTCCAGCCCCTAGGAGAGCGCCGTGACCCAGGCCTGGCCAATCAGAGCTCTCTGCTCCTCTAGCTCGTGAGAGCTGACCAATCAGCGCACTCCCCTCCTCTAGTGGCAGCGAGCGCTGGCCAATCAGAGCATTCCCCTCCTCTAGGTACAGTGAGGGGCCGATGATGGGCAACATTCCAAGCCAGGCCCATCAGAAATGATGAAAGTCAACCCAGGGCTTTCGTGGGAAATGTAGGAGGAACAACGGCTAGAAGAGCAAAGGCTGTTTTTAGAATTTTGTGAGATTCCCGAGCTCTTTACAGCGTCAGGGCCCCCCACCTGAGGACGGAGCCCCCTGGCCGGAAGCAGGAGCCCCCACCCTGTGCGGCAGCCTCACTTGAGCACTGGGCCAGGCAGAGCAACTAGCGGGGCCCCTCGGGTCGCATTCTGTCCCCCGTGATCTCGGGAATTCTGCGGGGTGGCCCCCCCAGACGTGCATGCCCGTCCCTGTTGCAGTTGAGGCGACAGGTCGAAAGCGAGACCCAGGAGGGAGAGACCCCACCGGCACACACCGCCAGTCGCAGGCTGCGTGCACCTGCGCCGCCCCACACGCCATTTGGGCACTATACGCCGGGGTGGGGGGGAGGCTGCGACAGGCTGTGGACGGGGTCGCAGGGCCCACAACGCCCAGCCCCTGTGCTCCCACAAGCAGGGACTTACCACTATGATGGACAGCGCAGGGGCCACAAAGGCCCAGACAGCGCCGCTCGTGATGGACAGCCAGCAGCTGTGGATGGAAGCGGAGCGTTAGGTCCACCACTGTTCCTCTGCCCCGGGGGCTCTGGGCACCTCCACCCAGAACAGTTGCCTAGACAGTATCTTCTTCCACTATGGGGCCCATCTGAGCAGCCAGAGTAACACTGAACCCCAACAAATATCTCTGCATCCTATCCACGATGATTTCCTGCCTCTCATTCTTGGGGTGAACAGTCCTCGTGCCTCTCTGCCCCCCTTCCTCCCCTGACAGCTCCAGGACCAGGACAGGGCACGGCACCCGCTGAGGAGGGGCATTTCTGGGAAACCCACAGCGAGTCTCAGTGGCCCCTCTGCAAGGTGCACAGCGAACCCGGGCTCCCGAAGGGGGTCGACTGCACACAAAAAGCTCTGCTTCCCCACATTTTCCAGCAGAATTCGACATCCAGGAGGATCCAACCGTCCTGTCCTCTCGGGAAACGGGGAGCCCCCTGAACCTCTGCTGGGGGGCGCGGAGAATGCCTAGAGCACAGTTGGGGCTTTCTTGCTCTCTCTGGCCTCCTTACTGCCTGGCCTGGGTGGGGGGGCAGCCCCGTACAGACAGACGGTGCCCCCAGAAGAACATGGGACGACAGGGCAGCTGCTGGGGAGGGGAGACTCACAGTGGTCTTTTCCCTCCTGCCAAACACAAGAATGTGTCCATTCACTTACTTTTTATTTGTGCCGTAACTGTTCATGGCAGATGACACTGAAATGATACAGATCAGGAGAGGAAAACCTGCGGAGAAAGAGAGCAGGAAATCATGGCCGCTTGCTTGGAGAGCCCTCATTCCTCAGTCATTCATTCCTCTGTGCCTGGTGTGTGTGAACTGCGAGCAGGAAGTGCTGAGGCGCAAGCAGCCGGCCTCCAGGAGCCTCAGTCTAGACAGAGGGCTGACTCACCCTCACGCACACGCACTCACATGCACCCACACGCGCACCACGCACGGAACTCAGAATCCTATCCCTTACAAATCCACACCTGTTTCTGAAAATGACCCATCTGGCTGCCGGGACAGCAGCATGTCCTGGGGGCCTCCGTCCAACCCGCTCGCCCCACAGCGGCCTCTCCCCTGCTCCCCTGCCCTGAAAGAGGGGGGCCCGGGGATCCCTCCACCTGCTGGCTGGCTCCTCGAGGGTACAAGAGAGAAAGGGCTCCTGACGAGGAGGCTGCGTTCTGCTTGTTCCCAGAGCGGAGGCTGGGCTGGTGACCACGCATGAGTGCCCCCCAGCCTGCACTGAGCCTGCGGCCGCAGAGAAAACAAACCAGAGCCTGCTCAGGGCTCTGCCTGGGCGCCTCCCAGCAGCGGCTCCCGGCCTTTCTGGCTTCAGTCTGAACAGTCTTGAACAGGAGTTTCCTGGAGAGCTGTCCTATCTCTGATCCACTGCTTCTATGTCTAAATAGTTCAAATACATTACAGAACGTCCAGGCCTCCACAGAGGAGACCCATCGGCCTCTGGGGAGAGGTGGCCAGGCCGGGGGCCTCTCACAGTGGCCCTCTGTCACATGAGTGTCCCACAGGGGAGCATGACCTAAGAGAAGGCAGACTTCCCCCTGGTGCTACACATGCTGGACTCCTGCCTAGACGGACCCAGAGCCACAGGAGACGAGCCGGCTCACTGGGACCTGACTCCAGCCCAGCGGCCCACTCCCTGGGGGCCTCCATGTCCACAAATGTCACAGGTCATCCTCACTACCTGGCTCACTTGTGGGAGGATCACATGGCACCTGAGATGGTGAGAGGTCAGGGGAGGCATCAAGCCCCGGGCACCATCAGCCACCCAGCACCCCAACAATGCTACCAAGGCCCCCCAGTTTCACTGAGGAAGCGCAGGCCGAGGGCCATCCTTCCTCTGGATCCACAGCACAGCAGGCAGGCAAAAGGGCTCCATCCTGGTGGGTTCTGGAAGGTGTGGCAAGGACCGGAGGTGCCGGGGGAGATGGGTTTCAAACTTGGTGGTCAAGGCCTACACCCTCCTGCCCCAGTCCTGGCCTGTGTCGGTGGCTGGCATCTCTTCGCTGCCTGAAGTAAAACGGAGGAGTCAAAGGTTCTTTTTCTGCATTCACAGCTCATTTGATCCCAAATGCAGTGCTGGGGGCTCCCTTGTCATTTCTTCCCGTGTCCGCCTCCCGGTGCCCAGGCCACCCCATGGGGCAGCGACAGAAGCATCTGCCTGAGCAGAGGGCAGCCCCACTGTCTGTGGTCTCTGAGGCAAGTGGCAGGAGCCCAGCATGTGGCTGTGTGGTACTTTTTTTTTTTTTTTTAAGATTTATTTATTTGAGTGTGTGTGCCTGGAGTGGGGGGAGGGGCAGAAGGAGAGAACCCGATGTGGGGCTCCATCCCAGACCCTGAGATCACGACCTGAGCTAAAACCAAGAGTCAGTTGCTTAACTGACTGAGCCACCCAGGCACCCCAGTGTGTGTGTTCTTAAGAAATATTTCAGAGGTGGGAGGATGAGGATGCAGGAAAACAGCCAGTAGGAAAACCTGGGCTCTGGGGCCACGGGACACCTGGGTCCGTTCCCAGAGCCACCTGACCTGCTGTGTGGCCTCGAGGAAGCGCCTGACCATCTCTCAGCCTCCATGGTCTCCCTGCGGAAATGGAGGTAAGAGCACCCTGCTCCCCATCTGTGTGAGGATCCCCTGTGTTGTGGCCACGTGTGTGAAGGACGAGGCGCTCCACGCATCAGGGCAGTCCCTATAATCATCTGCACTGTCATTAACCAACTCCGGCCCTTCTCCCGCTGTGGCCATCCCGGTAGCCGTGCAGGCACATACGGGCTTCTGCAGACAGTTCAGGGTCCATCTGGCCCTGTCACATGGACACATACTTTGTAGAGCGGAAGACGCGCTCTCTTTGGAATGCGGTGGTGCTTCTCTGGCCCGGGGAGGGGCCGTGGGAGCCACCGACCAGGACGGAGCAAAGAGCCCAGGAAGCGGATACCAGGAGACCTGACACGGGGGCGGCGGCCTCACAGAGAAGGAGGCCGGAGACAAGTGGCCTGCCCTCCTTCTGCCAGAGGCTTCCGGATGCTTCTTTGGGCGTGGGGGAGGCTTGTTGGCCAGAGGCTGCTGGGGCCACCAGGCTCGTTCTGGGCCACGGGTCGTGGACAGAAGGGACACGTGCCTTTACAGGCAGAGTATTTAATTCCCAGTGTGAGGCCCTTCCACGTCCTCTCCTCTCCCCCCAGCAACCAGCAACCAGCAACAGTTCCAGGCGGCAACCCCTCCACGTGGGACTGCCACGAGCACAGCCCTGCCCACCGCCACGGCCACGGGGGACACGGAGCGGAAATGGGAAGTGAAGGCGTGCGGCTTTACAGCAAGCAGAGCTGGGTGCTGCTTGTTCCCGCAGCGCTGGGTGGCCCAGACCAGCGCCCCCGCGCTTGGCACTGCCCCGGCTCCCTGGAGCTCCGAGCAGCCCAGGGAAAGGCGGCTGCAGTGAATCCCGATTCGGTGCGTGCCTCAGATGAGTGAGAGCTCACCAGAGAAAGTTGTAACAGGAAAAGAAAGCAGTTATGTTTCTCTCACTTCTGAGTTGGTCATTGGACACGCACATCCACAGTGGGGATGTGCAAACTCAAACATTCCTCACAATCTCCTCTCCTCCTCCCACAGGGATGCTTCGGGGACAGAGATCACGGTTCACTCACCTTACAGGTCTGATCTAGGGCCTGACATCTAACAAAACCTCAAGTTACGTTCTTGATTTGAACACCTCCAACCCCCAACTCAGCATCAAAACAGTCCCACGGGTCTCAAGGCCAGGGAGGACTCTGCGGGAAGAGGCCTCTGTGCAAGGGGGGCTCCCTGCAGCGTGGTCTCCCCGCACTCTGGCTCAGCCTCCAGCTCTTCTGCATTAGAAACTGAAGGTTGAGAGGGCCCAGCTGCGTGCAGACTGTCTGTTTAGGCCCAGAGCGAACCCTACCCCAGTCAGAACGAGAGAGCCACTTCCGGAGCCCTGAAGACATCCCCCAGGGGGAAGCTGACGGGCAGGCTGCCAGTCCGGCCCAGGGCTCCCTCTGCAGAGAGCAGCATCAGGGGCTGCACCCTCACACACTTGCAGGGACTAGGCTGGTGTGAGAAACTACACCGTCCCAGACATGCTGTCAAATAGGATTGTAAACTCGGGGTTCCCAGATCACCTCACTTTTCAAAAGATCTCTATAATTTCTACAAAATCTCAAAATGTTTAAATATTGGTAAAAACAACTCTTTTTTTTCCTCCAATACTGCCGACCAAATAAGAGCCCAGGGGGCTCAGTCTCCAGGGGTGCTCACAGGCTGGATGTGGAACATCCTGGCCGCCGCAGGCAGCTCCCTCCGTGGCCCCAGCAGTGGGGGGGGGGGCGCTGCAGAAAGCCAGGAGGGTGCAGAAGGTACCCCCCTCACCCCAAACACATTACATCAAGCAGCTCAGAGCACAAAATAAACATGTTTATCTGCTCCCTGCACAACGAGGGCTGTGAAAGTTAAACCCATCTGAAGAAACCCAGGAACAAGCAGCAGGTCGCTAATGCTGGACGAACACTTTCTCGAAAATGCAAGCATGGCAGGGGTCAGTGACACTCTGCACAGACTGGCAGGAAGCAGGCACTCGGGATGGGGTGGGCAAGAAGGAAATTCACGGAGTCAAGTCAGTGGGGAGGGGGCTTCCGGAATGAAGCCATGAGCGGCTCCGCAGACCCACCCCTCAGTGAGACAAACCTGACTGATAAAATTAGTCTAAAAAAACTCCCATTGAAAGTCTCTGTACATTTTCGTAAGACCATACAACAAATTAAGAAAGACTAACTTAAGAAAACCTACTAAGTCTTGGTAAGAACAGAGGATCCATGACACTCGACTCGAGCCATGACTTGCTCCACCCCAAGGAGACAGGCCTCCCCCACTGGGCCCCTCAGAGCTACACTATCTCATGGGGGTGGGCCGCCTGCATTTCTCCTTGCAGAAGCTCTATCCCAGGCAAGAGCAACGGAGATCAGAGCTCCCTTCCTCCATCCAGCCGCAACCCATAGTGTGCAGGACCTGTCCCTGCCGTGACTCGCGGAGAACACAGGGCCCCGACTGCCCTCCCCTAAGAGCACTCACAGGGCAGAGGCTCCACGCTGGAAGAGGCAAGCTGACCTCAGAGGCTGCCCACCCCGCCAGGGCCGTGCTCTAACACTGGGATGCTGTCCAAGAGAAATGAGCCACGGTCCCCGCCCCAGCTCCAGAGCAGCGCTGCAGGGACTCTTCCCAGGTATGGGGGAAACAGACCATTAGCTCAGACACCTCCAAAGCACTCTCCATGGGAACTGATTTGTTTTGGAACACAGCATAGGGAAGTTCAAGCCTAAGAGCATCTGGCCTCTTGGAGCCATGTCATATGAAGGTGAAATCACATCCAACCTACTCCCACCTGCCCCATCCTATCCCCCCACCCTCACCTGCCCCGTCGTACCCCCACCGGCCCCATCTCATCCCCATCCTATCTCCCCACCCTCACCTGCCCCATCCTATCCCCCCTATCCTCACCTGCCCATCCCATCCCCACCTGCCCCACCCCATCC